TTGCCATTTCTAGCAAAACTTAGGATCTAGCTGCACATTGTTATTTACTCAAGACACAAGGGTCCCTACAACTGAGCTGCTGCAAGACTCCCTCTGGTCAGCCAACTGCTGCATCAGTTGATAATTAACATCCCAGACCTATTCCAGAACAATTTGACAAGGCAAGTTGGGACAGTCCCTGTCCATAGGTTCAGAAGGTGGCAAGGTCTTCCACACCTTCTCAGGGTCTATGGATTCTCAGCGAGTCTCAAGGACTACAGCTTTAACCACTGCAGTTTCTGTATACATCTCCAGTTTCAGCCATGAGCAGGGGAGATCCTTCCATGGGGTAAGCCAGCAAAAGCATAAAATTCTTCTCAGAAATCTCGTTAATGCATCTTTCCCCACCCCACACCACTGTCTGCTACAATTACTTTTAAAGCCTTGTAAGTCAGAAGCTGTTTCCTCAAGCACTTTGCAGCCTTGGCTTTTCCCTCTAAGCACAGAGACAGCATGTGCACTGCAGAGAGTCCCATCACTGGCTTGAGGGTTGTCACTAACCTGAATCCTCCCTGACAACAGGTACAGATGGTGGAAAGTGTATAACCCATGCAGGTCTGGGTGTCCCACGAGGATCCTCTAGTCTATCTGCTGCTCTTTGCTGTATTTACTATGTATGGGGACACCAGTATATATCACACATTCCTGCCAGTGATAGGCTTGCACGTCAGCCTGTTCTTGAACCAGCTTGTTCTTTAGGAAGAAGGTGGTCTGCTTCAAAAACCTTGGAAAAATTTCTGAAGTGTTTCCATTCCCAGAGATAATTATTATGGACACCGGGCACCTCAGAGTTCCTAAAACCCAGTGACAGAGGCTCCTAATGACAAGCAGAGGCAAACTCATGTGCTATGGTTGTTGGTTGTTTTTCTTTGCTTGCCTGCTCCCTCCAGAGGCCAAGCACGCAAAGGCATTTTGCTGATGATCTTTCCCAGCGGGAAATAAAATTCATTAATTTAACCATAAAGAAGTGTAGGGCTGATTAAGGAATACAGATGCTAGTGACTACAGAAGAGACTCCTACACGGTCACAGCTGTCCTGGCTCAAACGAGAACAGCCTAGAGGCACAAATACGAGCCATCTACGAGAGTGTAGAATGAGTGCCTGCAAAACACAGCAGGAGTACTTCAAAAGAGAATGTTGTTCCTAGACACGTGATGCAGCAATAGGCCCCTTAACTGTTACCAAGGCCATTTCAGCTTCTGCTAAAGCTTTACTTTCTCAAGCTGACAGCCTGGATATAAATAAACTGCTGTGCAAGTGTCCTCCCTATCTAGAAGCACATTGGAAAGAACATGAAGAAAACCTAACTCCTAGGGCAGACAACACAGTCTTATGTATTTTTTTGGAACATAACTGGTGTAATTAATACATCAGGATCTCAAGCATGGTCCAAGAGCAAACAAGCACTTGAAAGGAGAAACAAGTTTATAGATATTTCTAGTGGTATCTAGCTGCTAGTACCTACTGCCTAGATGGAATTACTACATGAAGGTCCTCACTATTTGCAGCTTGCCTCTCTAATTAGTTGACACTATTTTATAAGCACAAAGGTGATCTTGGGCATTAAATCTGATGGGCAAGATATAGCACAAGCAACCTGAATTAATCAATAGGAACCCTGACTTACGCTTGTTTTGATGAAAAACAAAATAAGTTGAAGGCTCACCTCTTTTCCCTCCTCTCCCAAAGGGCAAGCACATCCTAAGAAATAAATTCTGAAGATTGTTTTGTACTAGAATGAGAAAGCATGGCCAGCAGCTACCTTCACTAAAGCCAGCAATGGGCCTCAAGTTTCAAGGGACAAATAAAGCTACACTCAGACTACTCCCAGATTATTTCAAATAATGTCCCCCCTTCCCACACATATTCCAAAAGGCTGCACTTACTTTAATTTTCAAGTCCTCACTTCTGTGAAGTGGTAAAACTATCTATAGGATAGCATAGTGTCCAGAGATTATAACCTAGGGTTGAGCCCTCTAGACGACCTTATAATACAAGTGTTCAAGTCCTATGATACTCATGTCAAATAACAGCAAATGATCACAGCTTAAGATTGGCACTTGCTCATCAAGAGTCGACAACCTGACTCACCTGAAAACAGGCCTCACCTCATCACCAGAGGGCCCCAGGGAGCAGCAGTCCTAGCATGAGTTCACATCCAAGACATGCCATGAGACCTGTTCTCTCATAATGAAGAACCTGGTCAAAAGCACAGTCCCACACTGAGCAAACCCTTACCCATCTGCTTATTTTCATTTGTGGCTGTCACTCAGACTACAGAGCAATTAATAACCTCTAGCAGGTTGTATACTGTTCACTAATTTACACGTGCATATATACATAAGGTACCATATATGTGTATGGTATGCATGGTAGAACATATATGGTACTAGCAGATAACACCACATATATGCACACTAACAACACAGTGCACAGTCTGTATGTCACCTATCAACAGTAACAAGTAAACAGCACAGAGCTCAACAATCATGGGTTACCAGCTCCTCCTCATGCATAAGGAGAGCAGAGATGTTTGGTTTTTGAAAAAACATATACTTTTTTTCCAGTTAGCATGTCTGGGCTATATTTGCTAAGGATTAAGGTGAAAAAGCATTAGGACTGTACAACCAAATGCACAGCTACCCTTACTATAAGGTGAAGAGACAAAGATTTGGAACAATGACCAAAAATCAAGTTTCAATGTTTTAATCACAGAGAAGACCTCAAAGAGTGAAACATCACAGACAACACAAAGTTTACCCTTTAGCTGCAGGAAATTAACTTTTGAATCCCTACTTTCAGTTTTACTCCATAGGTAAAAAGCCAGCAGCGGTTCCTGACGTTAAGTATCACAGAATTATAGAACGGTTTGAGTTGGAAGGGACCTTAAACATCATCTGGTTCAAACCCCATCACATGTGCAGGGACACCTTCCACTAGAATAGGCTGCTCAGGGTCCCATTCAGCCTGCTCTCAAACACTTCCAGAGATGGGGCATCCACAACTTCCCTGGGCAGTCTGTGCCAGTGTCTCACCATCCTTACACTAAAAAATTTCCTCCCGAGGTCTAACCTAAATCTCCCTTCTTTCAATTTAAAACCATTACCCCTTGCCCTATCACTGCCCTCTGGTAAAAAGCCCCTCCCCAGCTTTCCTGTAGCCCCTTCAAGTACTGGAAGGCAGCTATAAGGTCTCCCTGGAGCCTTCTCTTCTCCAGGCTGAACAACCCCAGCTCTCTCAGCCCGTCTTCATAGCAGAGGTGCTCCAGCATCTGATCGTCTTCATGGCCCACCTCTGGACTTTCTCCATGCGTTCCATGTCCTTCTTATGTTGGGGGCTCCGGAAATGGACAAATTACTCCAGAAATGGACATAGTACTCCAGGTGGGGTCACGTAACAGCTGAGTAAAGGGGGAGACTCACTCCCTTGACCTGCTGGCTACACTTCTTCTGATGCAGCCCAGGACAGGGTTGGCTTTCTGGGCTGCAAGTGCACATTGCCAGCTCATGTTGAGCTTCTCATCAACCAGCACCTTCTCCTCAGTGCTGTTTTTGATCCATTCTCCACCCGACCTATATTTGTGCTTCGGACTGCCCTCACCCAGGTGCAGGACCTTGCACAAGCCCACTTCTCAAGCCTGTCAAGGTTCCTCTGGATGGCATCCCTTCCCTCCAGCATGTCGACCTCACCACATACTTTAGTGTTGTCGGCAAACTTGCTGAGGGTGCACTCAATGTCACTGTCCGTGTTGCAGACAAAGATGTTAAACAGCACTGGTCCCAGTACTGACCCTTGGGGATCACCACTTGTCACTGGTCTTAAAAATTTATCTAGAGAATACTCTTACATATGGAGTACCTTTCATGGCTTTTCATTCAGCAATCTTGCAATCCTCTACCTGGCAGCTGCTGCTCTGCCCCTGGAGACACTGAAAAGGGAGCTACTTGCACAAGCTGTTTTTCCTTCTCCAGTAAAAGCGAAAAAAGGGACAATAAAAATCAGCATAGATTGGGCTATGAAAGGAGCTTTAGTAGTGGACAGAGAAATAAGATGAGGAAGCATATCCAAGGATGGCACCACAGTCTAGTATGCAAGTAGAAACCAGATGGTATTGAATTGGGGCATTGATAAGAAATTCAATTAAAAAGGGGATTCTTTAGAACTTGGTAGAGTTTAGGCTGAGCAAGACATAAGCCTGGGAGCAATAAAGATTGGAAGGAACCTCAGGGCAAACCATAACTAATTCTGCCAGGAACTCCCTCCTGGGAGGGAACAAGGAGCTCCCTCCTTGTCTCATAGCTGAAGTCTCTGTTATACTAGAGAATACTGGTACAGAAATAAATTCATTGCAACCGCAGAGTATTAGTTTCTATTTCTCCTCACCACTGACCACGCAAATTTACATTTTTCCCACATATACAATATTTGTTTTGGCAAGTATAGTTTCCATAACATTTGTATCTTCAGTAAACGTTCACAGTCATTTAATCATTAACCTTTCTGCTAGCACAACTGAGAGGACAGACACTTGAACTTGAACCTCAAGACCAGTTTTGAGAGCTTTTAACCATGTTCAGAGCTGCTCATAATCTGCTTGAGGAAAGTAATGAGCTAGGGAATGGTTAATAGACCTGAAACATCACAGCTTCACAATTTGACCTTTTAGGTATAGAAACACAGTAAATTCATATACTTTAAGATCAGTGGAGTAGGAACGCTATCTTGGTACAATCTTTTCCCAATATTTACCAAGTTTTTACAACAAATACTCAAAACCCAATAAATATTTGGCAAAATTACTTAACGCTGAGAAAATGTTATCCCAGAATAAGATAACAGATCCATTTAAGAAAAATAGATATTAAAAAGTAAAAAAAAGGATATTTTTGCCCTGGAATTTCCAATCTAGCACAGAACTCCTTAAACATTATGTAAAACAATGAGGCCACTCCATACTTACAGTATTTTTGTTTTTATCTATTGGGGTAGTCACTTTACATCATACCAAAAAGACCGTATAATGAATACAAGTGTCAAGAATCAGATTTTTATGGCACAAAAGGAAGTTTTCCATTCATTAACCTGCTTTCAGAGTTGTTAAATACATGATTGATGAGAGAGAAACTAAGGCTACTGCAGAAATAGTTTTTGCAGGATGGTGTTAAGTCTTTATTCAGCTTAACTGACTCCTCCTGTCTGAAGGTGGAGAAGAATCTTTCCATTAGTTTGTTTCAGTGATTAATTTGGGATGAAAAGGTTCTTTTACTACATTTGACACAAATCCATTTTTTCATTTATATTGTTATTCAAAGTTCACATAAGCTCTGATGTTGCACCTTACGATGTATGGAATTTAAGATTAAAATAAAACTCTACTTTTAACATATCCTTTTCTATAATGTAAAAATATTCTACATGTTTAGCATATCGAGAATGTTAAGCATTCACTTTGGGGGAAAAAAAAGTATTTTACGTATTTTTCAGCACAAACCCAAGGATGGATGGTCGGCACTAATGTGTCCCTGTCAAGATGGATGCCACCAGTGTTCATCTTCTGCAACTACAGCTTGACGCAGAAGAGCTATGCATGCAAGACAGTTTTTAACAACTGCCATTCTGAGATGCTGCTAACTTTTTATCTTTACTTCCCTCCTACCCCTCTGCTGTGGCAAATTTACACCTTTGAAATAACGAGTGTTTTTAATTATCAAAATCAGTATAAAAATAGCAGCATGCTCCTAAACATGAAAAGCAGATTCATCACGCATTATGAATTGAAATGCAGATTTCTGCCTTCCTTTTATATTATCAAAGTCTTTTAAAAGTTAACATCAAGGCAAGGGGTATAAGGACAGACACTGCATAGTATGATTTGATACTAATCTGAACTGGGTATTTGTATTTAATCAAAATCCATTATAGTTACAGGGTAAGCAATTTTTATTTCAAAATATAAGTTTAACTGGAATTGTAGTGATGAAAACAGAAGAGGGAAAATGCAGTCTTTTAACAGCCCATGTCACTGTATCTCACTTACATCCAGAGGTAAAAGCTCTAATTGGTGAAGATAAAGTATTTGTGGCATTTTCACTGAACCTTTGTGATAATCCAGCATTCTCCATTTCTAAAGAAATATAAATACTTTAAAACAAACATTGAAAATAAACCCTTTTGATGTAACAAACTACACTCTTTACCGAGAATTTTCAGTCTTCTTAAAAGAATGGGACTTCACCCCAAAAATAATCAAAATATCAATGTAGAACAATCCTTGGAGAAAAAGAAGTCGGAATGTAAACCTCTGTTCCAAATTAGATCTGAAAAGCAAAAACACCACACCATGTATTTCATCCACATGCATTTTTTTTTAACAAGCAACTCTGTCTTTAAGCTATGTTTACAGTTCAACAGGAGACTTCCTCAACTCACTACAGTACTGTTTTTGCCTCGGTTCATATCCCATTTTCTTAACATGTGAACAAATCCTGTCCTCTTACGTCCCCACCAACACTGTTACAATAGTGACGCAGGTGAGCAATTTTGCCAATATAATTACCCATAAAGATTACAGACATAAATTAGCCTACAATTCTCAAAACCAAACCTTGAGTAAAAGGGTAACTTCCCTAAGTATTGATTATCCAAATTCATTTGATGGCAAAGTAATTGGTCTTCTAACCATTCATAGAATCTTAGGGGCTGGAAGGGACCTTGAGAGATCATCTAGTCCAACCCCCCTGCCAGAGCAGGGTCACCTAGAGTACATCACACAGGAACTCATCCAGGTGGGTTTTGAATGTCTCCAGTGAGGGAGACTCCACAACCTCCCTGTTCTTCTGACATAAACAACAAATAAAAGGTTCTCCCAAGTACTTCATGATTAACTATGATCTTGGAAGCCGCACTTCATTCTAGGTGAACTAGATGATCTTCAGAGAGGTTATTGATATTCTCTCTTTATGTCTTTTCCTTTCTTAAATAATAATAATAATACATTGCACAGCTCACGGAAGCTTGAAAGATGAAGAACTAAAACATAATGCACTTAGAACAGTCTGTCCAATTAACTCAACTCACTGGCTCACAAAGTTACTACTTATCCTCTCAGCCACTTGACCCTGCACACATCCATCTCTCAATTGCAAAATAAAGTGCATCATCTTAGAAAACATTTCACAGCAGATTTTACTTCTGCAATTTACTATATAATTTGAATAACAATTTTACTACTACAATGTAAGAGTGTGCATGCTCAGGTGTCACAGCTTGGTAATAAGCAGTAACACAACAGATTATGGCAATCTGTAAACTCAGGATTTTTATTAACTTTAGTAACTACTAAGATGCAGATGATTTTTATGTGAACAGAAATGAAGACTTCAAGCCAGTTATTTTAAAAAACAGAAATACCTCAATTATTTCTGTAGTTATTATTAGACAGCAAGGTTGTTAAAACAGCAAAGGAATCTAGGTAAAACCCACACATGTTCATGCACTTCCCCAAAACACCTACATAACCTGTGCCCTGTAAGAGCAGTTGGTGTCCAGCGTACTTTACATCAGCAGTTTATGGCTGGGCTGATTTGTAGCTGCCCTACATGGCACAGGGGCTGACCCATCAGTCTTTGTGACTGCTCCCAGAGAGATCTTTCTGGCCTACTATGCAGGGCACACAAGGAAATCATAGTAGTCTGCTCAACCTTCCTGTATTATTTACTTTGCTTTCCACCATGAGGTTGCTGTAAGGTGCTTACACCTCAGAGAGCAGTACTGAGGGCCACACATTCAGTTCCTTCAATATGAACATACTCAGCTACATTCATGTATAGTCACCAATCTGCACAACTGCAATTCCTCACGCATTTACATATACAATCATCTGAATGGAGGTGGCTACGTAAGTCGTTGGCATCTTTGGGATCAAACAACTTTTGTTTTCTTTTAGGCATCTTAAGGGTTATGAAAATGTATGGACATGTATGTTTTCAAGCAGGCTGTTTGCTTAGAGGTCAACTGAAGGAATACAGTAGGACAGAATAAAGAACAGAAAGTTGGCCTGCACACATCCACACCATTTTCCGATGTGGTGCCTGAAAATGTGAGCTGTTCTGAACATCTATGTATTATTTTACTTGCTTTCAACAATGAAAAACAGCTTGCTGCCAAAGATGACAGTTTCAAGCATATGATACAAAAGATGTGTTTACTTACATCATCAATATCTTCATCATCATCTCCAATATCATCAAACTGGATTTCATCATCATCTCCAGGACCAAATGTGTCTGTTTCATTGATTTTAGCTAAAAAGGAATTTACAGCAGTTAAGGAAAACACACACCAAGACAGACTGAATATTCTTGTCCAATATGAACTTTCAATATGAAGTGATGAGATTTTTACCATGTTCTGGAAGCTCCCCATATGCTTTCAGACTTCTGGCTTCATCTGCATTGTACTTTAGAATAACATCAGCCTTGTTATCCTAATTAAGAAATTATCAGAATTTATTAGGCATCTGTGAAGAAAAACCCCTATTAAGCTCAGCAGACTAGTAACATCTATATTATTTACAGAAGAATAGCACCTATATTATTTACAGCATAATCTCTTATTCCTCCTTCCCCTTCAGTTCATTAAAAATGCTCATTTGTAAAATATCTTCATTCTTTCTGGGTGAGAACTTAATTCTCTCCTATTGCCAATAATCTGGGAAATTCAGTTTCATTCCGTTTAAAGTAATTTCTCCAGAAAACACACACAGTGAGGTATTTGGCAGTCAAATCAGAAAGTGCCAAAAATTCCTGGCTTCTAGTAATTTAATATATACTGTAAATGACAGCATCTTAAAAGTTTTACAACTCAATGTATGTTTCAGAACCAAAATCTGTCTTCAAATAACTGATGACACAACACTAGCATTCACCTACCTAGTGAAAATGTGACAACTGTTTTCCATTAAGCATTACTTTAGGTCAAATTATGCCATTCCATTTTTGAAAATTTAAGCAGAAACTAATCAGGGATCAATTGACCTCTTAATGTAAAATCCTAAACATCAAGGCTCCAAAATTCTGACTACCAAAAATTCTGATTATCACAGTTGAATGTTTGGTGCTTGGCCCAGTTTCCCTTATATCACAGGATGCAAGCATCAAAAAGCTACACCTGGAAATAAAAGGTTATGTGTGGTGCCAATAAGCACCTTCACTCAGAAAAGTCACAGGGTGCAATTTAGAAAAACAAGCTGAACTAGGATTTGTCATCTACTCATTACAATCTTTCTTTAATACAAGGAAGCTAAAAGTAATTATTTAGCATAAATAAAGACAAATTCAAGTGCTAGATGGGAATTTCTGCAGCAATTTAACATTAAATACAACTGTTTTTAAGATATTCTTCATTGAAAAATTACACGAGATTTTTACCTGGTAGTCTCTTAAGCCAACCAATATAATATCAGAAGTATTTATCCAAACCTGAAAGAGAAAACGTGTTACATTGCAGGAATTAAACTTATGTTGTATAACACAAGACTCAAACAGCACATTCAGGTTTACTGAGACATGAAACTTCACTTTCTGACCAGTAAACTGTAAGTACCAATTTTATATTTTAACAGCAAAGCTAATGTAAAAAATACATTAATTCCTATGTTATGGAGAGATTACTAAGGTAAATAAAACTTTTTTGAAGACCTTCATGCCAACAAGGTGGTTATTAAGTTGTAACTTCTGAGAAAACAGAAATAATCCATCAAGCCACCACTCTGTGAACTGAGCTCCACAACGGCAAAAATGAATGGAAAACCTGATGAAGGCAATGATGGACAAAACCAGTGAAAAGCACATAAAAATTAATGGACTTGTTTCTAGTAAATGACTACGATAATCAGTCAAACCAAAGCCAGAAGCCTGTAAAACTGGACATGCTCATTTAAATGCACAAGATGGTTCTATTACACGAGACTGATTTCTTTGGTGATAAAATGTCTTTCAGTTGAGACTTCCCCTCTTTTAGACATGAGTAATAGAGAAGTGATGCTTTCTGTAGCAACAAATTAATTCTGCAGCACTGAGCATTCCTGTGTGTACATTCATCATTACCTTCCACAGCTTATTGCAGCCTATGCAGGCAGCTAGCAGGGCTCACACTTACGCCAAGATACGTGTGCTCATTGGTCTCAAAAAACAAACAGGTGGAACAACCCAGAATGAACACAG